TGCCCAAAATCACACTCCATACAAATAAATCACAGTGACTGGGGGTAAAAGCCAGGTATCAATATTTTTTAAAGAACCGCACCCCGTCTTCCCTTCCCCCGCCCCCCCGACACACATACCAGCTGATTTCAATGTCTAGCAAAGTTTGCAATTAATGGCTTATGATTTGTCTAAGATCACACACATGGTCGGACAGGAACCCACCATGTTCAACTCAATTGATTTTAGCCAAAACTGACTCTTGCCCTGAAAATGTAGGATGAGTAGATACGGAACAGCTGCCATAATGATGACGTTTCATTTGGCCTGTGAGTCCTTCCTAAATGTAGGAGGTCTTCCAGTGGTGCTCCCTCCATTTGTTGGACATACCATGGCATTTATTCAGGTGTTTAAGGAAAACTTACTGTGTGCAGGTGTTGGCCTTCAGTCTGCAGGCCGACGTTCTATCCACTGAGCCAAACCGGTTAGGGCTGTTTGCCCAATTCTTAAACCAGAAAGTTGAGAAACATCCATTTTTCCTCTATCTTTCCATTTATTTTATATGTCACTAAATCTTCATGATTTTACCCTCTGACAGTGTGTGAAATTTAGTCTTTCCTTTCCTTTCTACTGTCTTAGGTCAGGCCCTCATTATTAGTCCCCTAGATCAGTGGTCGGCAAACTCATTAGTCAACAGAGCCAAATATCAACAGTACAACGATTGAAATTTCTTTTGAGAGCCAAATTTTTTAAACTTAAACTAAATAGGTAGGTACATTGTTATTAACTCCTAAGGCTTAGGAAGAGCCACACTCAAGGGGCCAAAAAGCCACATGTGGCTCGAGAGCCGCAGTTTGCCGACCACGGGCCTAGGCTATGTGGATAAATGGTCAATAAGGAACAGAAGGCTTTGAGCTCCCAGAGCTTATCAGCTAATGAAGGACCAAAGACATAACTCAGCAATTCTGAAGACATAATTCAGCAATTCCAACACTTAAAGAGTTAAGTCTGTGATGGAAACTTACTTTATTCATTTGCACTGGCCCTTGCTTTTTCTAGAGGATTTGTGGCTGCAAAACTACACATAATGAAGTTGTTAGCATATAAATAAGAAACAGAAATCAAGACTAGGGGAAATATAAATAAGTGTAGAAAGTTGAGAACAGAAGAAGAAAAATGTATAATTATGCAAGTCATAAAGATCTACTTGGGCTGAACCTCAATTTTGGCATTAGGTGTCCTGGCAGCCACATTGGAAAGGGAGCTATGGTTAGTTATAAAGTTCTTATTGTCAGAAAGACAAAAAAAAAAACAACAAAAAAACCCAGTACCTCAGGGAAGGAAAGGCTTTCCCAGCACTTGAATCTTGAGGAAATGTCTCATGTGGAGTTCCATATGGTCACCAATAATATTCCTATAGTGATTTGCAAAATTGGATTTTATAACACGGTGCCTTGAAGACCTTGCAATAAAATAAAGGATATAAAATGGTGAATTTGTGGCATGAGTAGGTGGTCAGGAGTAAATTGATTTGTGCCAAATATATATACAGGTAAATCTGTGGCTAGAAGCTAGACTATCTGGGGGAATGGATCGATTGGATACCCTTAACCCCTAGAGTGCTGGGGAGCGCGATCGCGCTCCTCCTGTCTTTCACCAAAAGTGCTGGGAGCGCGATCGCACTCCTCCTGCAGTGTCACTATTAGATGCTAGTAGTTCACTCTTTATTGACAGATGGCACCTAAGTGCAGATTACTTATGATGCCGAATGTTTGTAGTTCTAAAATTGACCACTGGCATTTATCTGCCTAATTTTTTACAGGTACTACGATTTTAGGAAGTTTACTCAGATTTTATAGCCCTAAAGCTTCGAAATGGTGTCCAGTTCTAAGTCTGCTTTTATTAGTGATGATGATATTGCTAAATATGTCAATTTTTGCTGTGAAGATGACGATTTTGTGGAAGATATTGGAGAAGGGTGTCCCTCTATTTTAACACTATATGTTTTGTTCAAAATTTTTTTTCTACTAGTATTTTATAATACAATCAGCAAACAATATATGTCAAAGATGAAAACAAATGTAGTAAAGGTTTCCTTAAGTTTTTTAATATGTAACTTCATTTACTTGCGATTCATAATTTTTTTCCTAAATTGCTGTAAAATCAGCAAAAATGCCTTGGCAATTTTAGCATAGTTCCTAGGATATTGGTTGGCACTCAGAGGGTTAAAAACAGTCTTCATAATTTCTCTCTACTGGGATTTTATAAGGTAGATGGTCTTTTTTTTTTTTTTTTTTCAATTTTCTGGGGTGGGAGTGAAGGGCAAGTATTCTGTGTTGTGGCTAATTTTATGGTTCATACCAGGGGTCAGCAAACATTTTCTTAAAGGGCCAGATAGTAAATATTTTAGCCCTTGTGGGCCAGATGGTCGCTGTCATAACTATTCGGCTCTGGGGTTGTAACACAAAAGGAGCCATAGACAATACATAAATGAGTGGAAATGGCTGTGTTCCAATAAAACTTGATTTACAAAAACAGGTGCCAGGCCAAATTTGGCTAACAAACTGTATTGCTAATTCCTGGTTTAACATTGAAAAAAAAAAGCAATTATATTATTGCTATTCTTTTGTTGGAATTACAGAATGTTTAAAAACTCGACAAGCCTTGGTCAGTAAGTAGCTTTGACCTCATAATTTAATTGATAGTAGGTAAGATATATGCTGGAGAGAGCATGGCTCATGTTCAAGATTCAAATTCATTACATTCATTGGAGGAACATGTGGACCCCAAAGCAATCCAATATAACTAGTCACACATCACAGTGACACTCAACAGACATGGAACTAGGCTTGTTGCAGCACAAAACTGGGCTGGGTCTAAACATTTTTATTTCATGTGAAGAAGGAGAATTGTGTTTCTCACCTGGAGGTCTCACAAAGCAACATGCATTCTCTATTAAGATCTCCTGGTTGGTCCCTTAGGAAAGAGAAAAGATGTTGGATTATATCCAGTAGGTGTGTGCTATTTACTCATTCATCATCTTTTCAAGTGCAAAATCTATTCCAGGCTACCAGATGTAGATTCTAACAAGTCTGTGAGCACAGCCAATAATACAGCTGCCCTTAGGAAAAAATAATAATTTCACTGTAAAAAGGCTTAGTTACGAGCAGATAATGCATGTTGATGGTTTGCTGTGATCTGGATTTTTTAATACCTCCCACTGGCCATAAACTAATCTGAGGGGTAAATTGTGTAATGGGAGTTACCTTAAAGGGTTAATTCTGGGAGGTCATCAGAAGAGGTGGCCTCAAGTGATTTGGAATCCAAAGCAGTGGGTGATTTAGGGCTCCAGCCTTAGATACTGCTTTAGCTAGTTTATGGATAACCCATGGTCCTGAACAATGAATTATGAACTCACATGTGCCATAGGTAGTGACAATGAGAAAGTGGGCTTAGACAGACAGCTTCAGAAGAGTTTGTAAAATCATGGAATACAGTTTTGAAACCCTTGGGTCTTCATTGTCAGTTTGAGCATAATTTGATATATCATTCTTTCTGGATAGTCAGGAATTGTTCCTTTTGCTCCATTTAGAATTTCCTAACTATTCACGTATCTAGCAGCATACAGTGGTTAAGAAAATGGTTTCTGTTCATTGTAATCACTATCCTAGGCCTATAGAGAACAAGTACTGTGTCTTTATCTTTATCTTCTCAGGCATTGTCCTGTACCTGATCCCTAAGGGCCACTCAAAAATGGTTGCCCAGTGAATGAATCCTGGCTAATATCATCCTGTTTGCAATACTAGCATCATAGAGTGGTGTGGTGAGTTGCCAGGAAGGAAGGTGGCTCCTTTTTGTTGCACAAACTGTGACAAACCTTGAACTCCTCCAACAGAGACTTAAGACTTTTTGTTTAGGGGCTGGAATATGCCTATAAGACTTAAAAAGCAGAAAAACATTCATATGGAGTCACAGTGCCTCCCCCCCAACCCCCATAAATATCACCAGATGAGGGTGAGGTAAAGGATATATAGGGCAGGCATGAAATATTTTTAATAATGGCTTATTCTTAACAAGCAAGATTTGAGACCAGAGAAGTTTCAATGGTAAATTTCTTAGGGAAAATGCCTGATACCAGTCACCTGAGATTTTCACTTTTTCAGAAGTATCAAGTGACCAGACATACTATTTTATTCCCTCCTCTTTCCTCTGTCTCTTGCCAACATGCTTATTAATAACAATGACTTTATCTATTGTCTTAAGAAAACAAATTTCCTTTGGCAGAAGTTACAATATGGTTTTACAGTCATATCTTTAAAATATCCTTGCCACTAATAAGACAGACATAGAGAATGGGGACATTTTGAGCCAAAACCAATTTAATATTGGGCAGCACTGACATGCAGCACAGTTCTGTTCCTGCTCCACCCTTTTGGTCAGGTCTTGCCAGTAAGAATGGGGAGAGAGCCAAGAGGATGGGGATGTGCACAGGAGCTCTCAAAACCCAGCTGGGGCTTTAGCCCTGAGCATTTTATTGTAGGGTTCCCCTGCTACCAGAGGAATGTGAGACCAAGGAAAGAAACAAAGATGAATTTAAAGCAAAGCCTAACTCACATGGGTAGTTTGTCTTACTGTAATATATAAATTGCCCAACTCCATTGCATCCAGGTTTATAAGGGGTGAACTTTGGCCCCAGGACATTGAGTATCTTTTCCTCCTTATTACCTCCACCCACATCACAAGACCAAGGAAACCTGAGCATCTGTTTTGCTCCTGACCCTCCCCTAGCATTAACCACAAGGCAACATAAATAGAATAAAGAGATTAATGGATAATTTTAAGTAGCCGCTAGGTTCACATCATACTCCCGCTTGGGTTAGTGTTGAGAGTCAATTATAAGTTGTCATGACCCTGAGTATCTTTAGATCATAGAAATATGCGGATCTCCAAAGTAGATATTAATTACTTTTACCTGTGTATTCATCTGTTCACTGATCCATTCTGACTGTTCTTGGTCTCAGGGCCTGAGGATCATTTTCTCTGATGCATCACGGCTCATCTTCCGGCTCAGTTCCTCCAGTGGCATGCGGGCCACCATCAGACTGTATGCAGAGAGCTATGAGAGGGATCCCAGCAGTCATGACCAGGAGCCACAGGTACCAAAACAGAGCTGTGCTCCCAGCACTGTGTGTTTCATGCTTCTGGCAAATTCTGGGAGCTCCTATATGCTTTTAGGTGGGAATGATTATATTCTGGAAAGTAAATTTCATATTGATACTTCCAGCTGAAGGACAAACTTAGAGTGACTACAAGCAAATTTAATTCATTCATCGCAGTGTTTGCAACAGAACAATTGTTCTCCAGCATCTATGAGACTAGCATTTCTCAAATGACTTGCCTCTCTTGATTGCTCTGCATTTTGTTAATTGGGGTGACATCAGGAAGAGGCACCTTGTATAGATAAGGAAATTTCGAGTTAGAGTCAAACTGGTCAAACTACGAAGAGCCTTGACCATGCTCATGTAAATTATGAGTCTTCGGGTGTTTGGAAAACTCTGGGTTGAACCATGACCTTGAAGTGCCAATATAGATGATACTCTGGGCTTCCTCTCTGAGATTGCTTCCAAGCCTAGCATGCAAGGAGGGACTATGGCTGGCCTGAATTTAAAGTCAAGGAAAGACACTAACAAGGCTAAGCCAACCAGTGTTTGGCAAAGCCCCCTTAATAAGTCACTTAGAAAAAGAATAAATAGCACAAGCATAAGCCATTCCACTCCCTTATTCATTCCAGCTCCAGGCAACATTAATTAATACCAGTAAGGACCCACTATAATGTTGGGTACTTCCAGCTACACTATTTGCTGCCCCCTCCCTCTTGGTCTTTACTTCAACCTGGGTTTTGAAGCAAGGTCTTTGATAATTTCTTGAGATGAAAACATTGGCTCCATCTGCAATGCTTCTTTTGTGAAGAAGAGAAGTAAAACTGTCACTGCTTCTCATTTTACAGTTGCTCAGAATTTCCAGTTATAATTTGCATAGCTGTTCCCTGGATGGAAAAGATGCCAGGGAATGTTTTCTTTCTTTAGTGGGTTTTTTCATGACACTTTTCTTTGGAGAGGCTCAAAGAACTTGGGGAAAAGGGTACCATACATAGATCCTTACACCTGACCCTGCAACGAACAGATCTCTCTGGAGTAATATGATCCCAGGTGGGGAAGGAGAGGCCTAGGAGGCGGTTATCAGGGTCACCAAGAGCATGAAGGGGCAGAGCCAGCATCATGTCCTTAGTCCTTCTCCCTCAGGATCACAGGCTCCCCATGCAGGGATGGGTCTCACTCTGCCAACATGATTTGTTAGTGAGTAAATTTCACCCAGGATAGTACAAAATCATGCAAAAATTGGAGGCTCACCCTACCTTTCTATATAAAACTCTCATCTATATCTCATGTTTGGGAAACAAGATTAAAACAAAGACCTGAATGTTCAGAGCTTTGTACAGGGTAAGGAATGATATTCCTGGCCTCACCAGCTCTGAGTCACTCAGACTCAGGGCTATTTTTTCTCAACATTCTTTTCCCTGTTTGCACGTAGTAAGTGGTTATGAATTTTGCTTATTTTTACTTACCTTCTTCACTGGCTGCAGGAGTATCTTTATAATGTCTAGGCCATTAGGCATGTGTGAAAACAATCCTATACACACATTTTCCTCTACCCTTCTAAGTTTTTCTGGCTGTTCTAACAATCAAATTGACATGAGACAGATTAGCAAGAGAAAAAAAAAAGTTAGTTTAATAATGTGTAGACCTCCTATATACATGGGATAGACCCGGAAAACTGAGTAACTCTCTGAAATGGCAGAAGCTACCACCTTAAATAATGTTGCCAGCTTATAAGACAAAAGATTTTGATGGTGGGGGTTTGTGGGAGGCACCAGAAAAAAGCCGAGTAAACAAGGGTAAGGTTATTATGCAGATCTCAGTCCTTGGCTCTCCAGTGATAAGAGTTTCTAGAGTTCAGGTCATCCCCCTCTTTCCAGGAAAGTGAGGGAGACATCCCTACAAATGGAAGTTTCCCTTATACATGTCTCTTACTACAGGGTAACTTGCACTCAGTTTTTAGAGCTTTTCCTATGTCTGCAATTTCTTAAAAATAAACAGCCTAAAATAATCCTTATGCAAAGAGACATATTTTGGGGTGGCAAATGTGCTCTCCTACAAGTCTCTGTCTGAGATGGTCCACAAAAGCTAAGTGGTGCCCCCTTTTTTAAGGCTTCCTTTGAAGCCGAAGCTTCCATGGGCCTGCTGCTGGAGGGCTGTGTGTTAAGTATGCTCAGGGCCTGGGGCAGGCTGCCCCCAAATATCCCACAATGGCATAGTGATTACTTTGAATTTAAGTTACTGGACCAGCAACCTGTGCAGGAAGGGTATGTTGGCCCTCCCTGGTCTCCTAGAATGCAGGGAATAAATCTCCCCTGTAAAAGGTGTCCTCCTTGATCCAAGGGGGTGAAGAGAAACACCCATATCGATAGAGTTAAGGAATCTAGAGCCTAGAAGCCTGTGTAAGGCTTATTTTGTCTAATTTACTACCCAGACCTTTTTTTCTGTTTAGATTCCTTGCAAATGAGCATCCAAAACTAAGTTTCTTTGTCCTGTCAAATGTTCACAAATTTATTGTTTCTTTGTCTAAAAAATGACACAAAGGTGGGCTGGTTCATCATTTCTCTGAGTATTATTTATGCTTGCCTATATGCACACATTAAGTTGGTTTTTCTTCTGTTTATCTGGTCTTTTTCAATTCTATTATTAGTGCAGTCATCAGAACTCAAGAAGGGTAGGAGGGAGAACTTCCCCCTCCCCTACAGTATATGTACTTCAATCTGTGGGTAAAGTCACCATTGCTGTGTATTTTGAATGGTTGGGGGACCCTTTCCTTGATACTGTTCTTCTGATTGCTGATATTCTCTCCCTTTCTAATCATAGGCAAGGGTTTTCCCTTACCTGGGTAGGTGGGCCTCACAGTGTTTAGCATAGGGCCTAGATAAAAATGTTATGTTAAAATAGAACTTCTTATTAAAATACTACACATCACTGACTCACCAACTTAAGCCCTATTGCCTAGTACATTTAAATCAAGATGTAACTTGAATATTTTTAAACCTTACATCTAAAACCCTAAGGAAAGGGAGAAGATTCTCTCAGCAGGCCCACCTGTCTCAATTACATGGCCCTTGGACCATGGAGGGCCTCCTAACAGCATTGCTTTCCAGGACCATCTGCTTCTGCCTTACAAGAGCTCTGGAAAGAAAGGCCTTTGGTTAACTGTTAACAGAGATAAAAAATAAGGCATTCTCCTGAAGCTGCAAGTGTTATTACTGACCCAGGGCCTGACAGGGAAACACCAGCTTATGTTGCTTTCTCAGCCACAGAGAAAAACCTCTTCCACCTTTCTCATTTGTTCTGATTGGCAGCCCAGAAAACAGAGAACAAATAGCCACCTCGCCCACCCCACACTGGCACCTGTACTCAGACACCAGTTAAAGTACCTCTGTACCTGGCAGAGATTCCATTGATAATCTCATTCCAATTCAACAGATTTTTTTTAATGCTTTATCCCCTCTAACACAATGCCCATCTACATTCAAGCTATTTAGCAAGAAGACTTGAAAGTTCCCTTCAACTGGCTTTGTTAGCATCTGGCTATTTTACTTTGAGCTGGGATAGTTACTTTTCCTGACATTTTACACACATGTGAACAGAACTTGTTTTGAACATTTATACTGTGGTTGACTCGTGCAAGTATTCATAACTATCCTACTGATGCAACTAGGAAAACTTGTGATGCAATCTTCATGCACATAAGTTTCTTTTCCCACTTACAGATTTACCATTTTGGGTCCATTAGTATAACAGTGATTATACTATTTGTTTTAAGTTATTCTAAAATAAATTAGCTACATTCAAGAATATATATATTAAAAATTTTTTAAATTAAATCTTTATTGTTGAAAGTATTATGTATGTCCCCCCCCCCCAGTGACCTCCTCCAGCCCTCCCCAGCCCCCCACCTCAGGCCTTCACCACCCTATTGTCTGTGTCCATGGGTTATGCATATATGCATGCAAGTTCTTTGGTTGATCTCTTCTCACCCACCCACCTCTGCCTTCCCTCTGAGGTTTGACAGTCTGTTCCATGCTTCTATGTCTCTGGATCTATTTTGTTCATTAGATTGCACATTTTAAAGAAAATTCTATCTATATGCACTTGGGAATTGGTGGTGAAAGGAAGGAGTTTGGGAGGCTTGATAAGATGAGAAGGTGCTTGCTTTGCCCTCACTGTGTCCTTGGTAAATCAGGAAGGAAAGCTCCCAAGGCCCATTTCTGAAAGAGCATGTAGTTTGATAAAGACAAGATTACTTTAATGTCACTGACAATCAGTAGGCCTTTAACAAGCCCTCAAACCAGCTGGTAATAATTTAGAAAAAGGGATGAGCCAAAAGGAGTTAAATTCCCAGGTAACCAGAAACAGTCAGTTGTTTCCATTTTCTTTCCCACCAGGTTTATTAGCAGGGCTGCTAAAATATCTTATTTTGTATATGTTTTTATTGATTTCAGAGAGGCAGGTATGAGGGAGAGATAGAAACATCAATGATGAGAACCATTGATCAGCTGCCTCCTGCACGCTCCCTACTGGGGATCAAGCCTGCAACCTGGGCATGTGCCCTGACTGGGAATTGAACTCCGACCTCCTGGTTCATAGGTTGACCAGTGCTCAACCACTGAGCAACACAGGATGGGCCAGAAAACAGAGAACAAATAGCCACCTCGCCCACCCCACACTGGCACCTGTACTCAGACACCAGTTAAAGTACCTCTGTACCTGGCAGAGATTCCATTGATAATCTCATTCCAATTCAACAGATTTTTTTTAATGCTTTATCCCCTCTAACACAATGCCCATCTACATTCAAGCTATTTAGCAAGAAGACTTGAAAGTTCCCTTCAACTGGCTTTGTTAGTATCTGTTTTAATTAAGCCAACAAACATATTCACCTTCTTTCCTTGTCCCTTTCAACCTGTGGGTGGAGTGGCTAATGAACAATAAAGGAGTCTAAAGGAAAAGGAAGAAGAAGTTTTGTTAAGGGCTGGGATAATCACAGA